TGGCTTCAGTAGTGCGGCACACGAGCTCAGTAGTTGTGGCGCGTGGGCTCAGTTTTTGTGGCTCGTGGGCTCTAGAGTGCAGGCTCAGTAGTTGTGGCACACGGGCTTAGTTGCTCTGTGGCATGTGGGATCTTCCTGGACCAGGGTTCGAACCCATGTCACCTGTTTTGGCAGGCGGATTCTTTTTTGTTGTTGTTGCTAGAAATCTCTCCTGTCTTAGGAAGTTGACAGAGAGATGCTACTTTTTTTTTTTCTTGAATTTTATTTTATTTAATTTATTTATTTATACAGCAGGTTCTTATTAGTTATCCATTTTATACATATTAGTGTATATATGTCAATCCCAATCTCCCAATTCATCACACCACCACCCCGTGGCAGGCGGATTCTTAACCCCTGCGCCACCAGTGAAGTCCTATAGTGGCTACTTTTAAAAAGTCAGGTCATTTTCATCGTAGCTTTGCAAAAGCAGTGCAAACCTAATTTTCAAAGACACTGAGATGACTTCATTGTAATAATGACCACATAGGCTATCATTTTCTCATTTAATGTAAATAATGCTCTTTCTTTGAATTTATATTTGCTTGTTTAATATACTGAATTAGAGCATTCGAGTCTCTCAGATGAAGAAATTTTTACCTGTATGGTAGTTGCTTTTGCTATGACTAGACATTGATTTGGATTAAGGTTCATTTGGAGATTCACATTCTGCCTATATCAGCTAAAAGCACACGAAGAGTGTTCAGTTTAGAGTAGTTCCTAGTGTGGATGTTAGCTGTAATGTGCAATAAATTGATTTGCTTCGTAGTCTTTTAAAAATTTTAGCCAGGACATGCTTTTAAAAGTGAGAGGTCAGTGATAGGAGAAATTGAGGCCTAGATTTAAAAATAACAAAATTGCTTACACGGAACTGAGGCCTAGTCATCTGGTTTCCAGGGTTATGTAGCATTTCATAGAGAATAGATACCCAATTATTTTCATCCAAAATATTTTGACAAATCAATCTAAAGTAAAACTTTTATTTACTAGAATGCTTAGAAAAGGAGTTTTCTCATTAACCAAGCTGACCAGAAAACCCTTTTAGATGTAGCCCATTTTGGTAAAAATTGTTCCAAGAAGTATCACTGTACTTTTTGACATTTTAAGTACATTCAAGTGAAAATAAGCATGTATGTAAACATTCACACTATTCTATTTCTTTTTGTGCTTTAGGTTTAAGGGATACATTTCTTAGTTGTAAAACAGATGGGTCATTAAGTCACTATTTTCAAATAAACCTCTGATGTTGGTGGTTATGGAGGGCGGTATACAAAACAATGATACTTCCAGTAGATGTAGACACCACTGTCTTTATCGTTTGAGTTTTGGGGCATCTGATACCTGAGTCTTGCTGGAAACTTTTAGGAAAATATCAATATGCAGGAATTTAGACAGAATTGATGGAGGCTTGGATTCATTCTGGTGCTAAACTAGTAAGTGACCCTATAAAGTCCTCCTCTGCCCTACCCCCCATCCCAATTCAGGTAATCTCAGCAAACAAAAGAAGTCAGAAAAGTCTAGATAAATAAAAGTTCTCAGCTGAGAATATACAAAGAGCAGCTGAATTTCAATTGATTTTTTCTCCCCCAAAGTCTGTAAAGTCCCCTTTGCTCTCTAGGGCATTTAATATGGTTTGATAGATGATTAACAACTTGAAACTTTGACATACCTGTAGAGTTTCTAAGGAGAATGCTCTATATAAAGACAGTCAGTAAGATGAAATGTTTCCTTGAACTGCCATACCAGTAACATTTCCCTTTATATGTCACCCTGTAACCAACTATTTTCTGGAGGGGTATGTATGTGTGTGTGGTTATGCAAAAATGAGTAGAATGTGGTCAGTGCCATCAGAGGCATATAGTCAATCCAGTCCCATTTGTACACAGGCAGAGTCTCTCTAAGCCAAACTCTGACTTAAAAACACTGCTTGGTTACACAGCATCATTCTGGGACTAGAGCTTCTTCATTATTGCTGAATTTTAGCATTGAGCAGTGGTGGGAGTACTTAGAGATCATTTAGTCCTTACATAGTTGTAATAATTTAATGAATACAAAGCCCCACACAAATAGTAAGTACTGTGACAAATAGTAAGTACTCAATATATGTTAGTTAAACCTGAATATCATATACAATTGGTGAAAGAGACCCAGCAACATGAAATGACTTGTCTGGTGCCATACATGTAGTTAGTGGTCGAATCTGGCTTAGAGTTTAGGTCTCATTATTCCTAGCTCATGTTTATTCATATCTTCTGCCTTGAAAGTGGCATGACATAAAACAGAGGCTAACTCAATTAATCAGCAGTTACTTATTACCCGCTGGGTGCTGGCACTCTGCTGAACTCTGGTGAGTACACAGGAACCTTACCAAAGGTGGGAGGGAGTCCGGGAAGGGAGCAGGTTAGAGCAAGGGCATCAGCCTATCTGGAGCAGAGAGCTATTAAGTTAGGAAGCTATCAGATAAGCAGGTGGGGTGAAGTGGAACACTGGGAAACGGAGGCCTGCCCTAAGTCACTAGTTCTGTGTATTTCCTTTAAGCGTCAGCCTTTTGAGAGAACCTAGTGTGGCATAAAATATATAGTCATTGGGGGCTTCCCTGGTGGCGCAGTGGTTGAGAGTCCGCCTGCCGATGCAGGGGACACGGGTTCGTGCCCTGGTCCGGGAAGATCCCACATGCCGCGGAGCGGCTGGGCCCGTGAGCCATGGCCGCTGAGCCTGCGTGTCCAGAGCCTGTGCTCCGCAAGGGGAGAGGCCACAACAGTGAGAGGCCCGCATACCGCAAGCAAAAAAAAAAAAAATATATATATATATATATATATATATATATATATATATATGGTTATTGGAATTAGCCCTCCTGGGTTTGAATTCTGGTTTTTATGACACTCTGCTCAAAACCATCAGTGGCCTCACATTTCTTTAAAATTCGAAGTCCTTGCTCTAGTTTACAAGGCCCTATGTAATCTGGCTCCCCTCTCTCTCTTACCTCTCTTTTGCTCCCTCTAGGCCTCCTGTGCCTCCATCACAAGTGCTCTTGCCTTGGGGATTTTGTGCTTAATGCTCTCTGCTACAGAGCTCCCCAAGAAATTTCGCATGGCTTGATCTTTCACTTCCTTTAGGTCTCTGCTCTGTGTCACCTTATCAGAGAAGTCTCTGACCGCCCCGGGTAAACTAGTACTCCCTCCCTACCAGCCTTTATCTGAATTTATTTTTCTTTATAGCACTTATCACCACCTGATATATACTTATTATCTCTTTTCCTTAAAATGTAAGCTTCTCGAAAGCAATATCTTATAGAGCATATAACAGTGTAGAGCAGGTATTCTAAATGAATGAATGAATGAGTTTTGTAACACTCAGTGTGAGCCTCAGTGTGCCCATCTGTAATAATGCTTATTTAATAAGATAATACTTATCAAGTGTGAAGGAAACACACTTCTGTGTTTCCTCCACTGTCAATACTTCTGACACCAGATGTGTGGATTTACCACACACCAAGCAATTATCATATTCTCTGGACTTCAGTTGGGTGTCCTCCAATTTAACTCAATTCTGACACTACCTGGAGTTAGCATCAGATTCCACAAATTAAGGACTTAGTCCCACAAGACTCCCCCCACCCCACCCCCTTCAGATGCCAATTGTAAGTCCAAGTTCTTATCTGTGCTTCTGACCAGTGAGCCATATTGGAGGTTCCCATGAGCCCCTCCTCAGGTTCAGCTAGTTTGCTAGCTCAGCTCACATAACTCAGGAAAACATTTACTTACTAGATTACTGGTTTATTATAAAAGGATATAATTCAGGAGCAGCCAGATAGAAGAGATGCATAGGGCAAGGTATGTGGGAAGAGCTCAGAACTTCCTTGCTCTCTCTGAGCGCTGACACCCTCCCCGCATCTCCGCCCCCACCCCCCCCTGCCTTTCCAGAGGTTGATGGGTGGAACTGAAAGTTCCAACCTGATAATCACTTGATCTTTCTGGTGACTAACCCCACCCAACCTGAGCCTATCAGGAGCCCTACCCTAAGTCACTTCAATAGGTAAACTCAGTGTGCTCCAAAGGAACCCTTTATGAATAACAAAAGACACTACTATCACTCAGGAAATTCCAAGGGTTTTAGGAGCTTTATGCCAAGAACTGGGGACAAAGACCAAATATATTTTTTATTATACCACATCAAGTATGTAGCCCAGTGTCTGGCACATGGTGAATGCTCAGTAAATGCTAACGTCTGTCCTCTTTCTTAAATTATTTGTTTGGCCACCCAGTAGATAGCTTTGACTCTGATTCCCATTTGACTTGGGTAAGAAGGACATTATACATCTTAGTGATGAAAAATGATTATTTATATCTTACATAGTGTTTTTTTTAGCAGAATGCAGTATTTTATAGTGCTTACATATTCCAATGGAACCAATAAGCTAAAAACCCTCATTTAATAGAATAGATATATTTTAGGAAAGTTTGTCAAAAGGCAACTTTTTAATCAAGTGAATTCTATATTTCTATTGTAAAAGTGGAGTTATAGTTTTACTTAAAAAATGGCCTCAAAATAAGATAAAATCATAATTTGAAGTGTTAAAAACCAATATATTCTTGACTTTGCAAAATTTTGCTTTGTTACACCCATGATGACACAGGGATTTGGGCTAGCGAGTGTTGACCTAAAACAGAGACTGCCAGATATTTCTCCAGCAAAGAGGGGTTTATTCACGGTCAGCAGAGAGTTGCAGTTTGGGGTCTGCAATCATGGCTAGCCAAGTGGAATCCCCCTCCTGGCAAGGGAAGGGGAAAAGGAAGTTGGGAGGGGTATAGCAAACAAAGAGTCCATGGCTTTTCATTGGCTGAGAGGAGTCTTCTTCATAGCAGTTGGGCTTGGCTGTTGTGGCAGGGTGTGCGAGCTCCCCCTTCTGGTCTCCCAACTCTGTTTAACTGAAGTTTCTGTTTATTAATTTTTTACAGGAGAAATAACTTGTACATGCTGCTAAGGACTAAGTTGTTCAGTTTCTACTTAGGAGAAGAGTCACTCAGCAATCACCTGGAAGATTTTGCTTAATTATTGTTTCTTAACAGACTTAGAGGCTATTAACACATCTGTGTTTTTGTAAGGTAACTGGTACTTAATAAACTTCGGCTTGCCTCTTTACTATCCTTGGTGACCGAATAAGGGCCAAGGTTATGACTCTGACCCCCAAATTTTGTTATTTAAGAAGCATCTTATCATAAGAAACAGTTAATTTTTATTTATTAATTTAAAAAAATATTTATTTATTTTGGTTGTGCTGGGTCTTAGTTGCGGCAGGTGGGCTCCTTAGCTGCAGCTCACGGGCTCCTTAATTGTGGCACGTGGGCTCCTTAGTTGCGGCAGGTGGGCTCCTTAGTTGTGGCACGTGGGCTCCTTAGTTCTGGCGTGCGAACTCTTAGTTGCGGCATGCGTGTGGGATCTAGTTCCCTGACCAGGGATCGAACCTGGGCCCCCTGCATTGGGAACACAGAGCCTTAACCCCTGTGCCACCAGGGAAGTCCCAGGAACAATTAATTTTTAAAATTTAAAATTCTAATAAGTGCAATTTCGTTTTCGTTGGACATTGAAGCTTTGTTTATATATTGTTACTATGAGATATATACAAATGATACAGTATACAGTGGTTTCCTCATCTTCTTCCACTAAGCCAGTCATTTAGCAGTCTGGTGTTTCACAGGTGAAACTTGGGCATTAATCCTGAGAGGGTAGGAAAGGCCCTCACAAAGGACACTGTCTTTTGGCTAGAGGAGCCATATATTACCTATTGTGTTATAGTATCTCTTGAAGTTCTAGTGAAACTTGAAGATAATTAATTGTGTTTCCCCTGGGCAAAAAGTACTCTATTATTGTGTTCTGTATTCCAGCTACTTGCAATAGAAGACAGGGAATGCTCTTAAAATGCAAGCGTGTAAACAAACAAAAAAGTCGTACAATAAAATTCCAAGCTCTGCAAATGAATGAATGAATGAATCTCCTTCGTCCTCCCTACCAACCAGAAAAAGAAAATAGAAAGCAGGACATGGGAAATCAGGGACTCTGTTCCTGTTGCAGAGGTCAGTGAGGGACAAGGGTGTTCAGATTCCCAGGCAGGCTGGTGTTTCTCCTTATTGAGAGATAATCCATTCCTCTGCTTTCCTAGTCCAGGACTAGGGGCTTAAACATCTAGGATTCAAACATGACCATTCCAAATCTTAGCACAATATCTAGGTAGAGTAATCTGAACAAAACAATACACTGTCTACAGACAGCGTAGTTAAAATATAGGCATTGCAGTCTGATATACCTGGGATTGATTTTTTTGCCCTGCTACTTTTTGTGTGCCCTTATATAAGATATTTAACTTCTTTAAATACATTTCCTCATCTGCACAGTGGAGATATATCTGCTTCAGACTGTTGCTGTGAAAATTAATAAGATTATGTATACAAAGCTCCTAATATAGTACTTGGCACATAGAGGTGCTCAGTTAGTGGTAACTTAATAATAAGGGTACATTGTCTTTCCGAAAATGTCTGCCGTATAAAATATTGTGTATGAGTGAATTTAAATTTTTATTGTTGTGAATTGATATTTGGTATCAAGGCCATTCCAAAAGCAATGAACATTTTAACCAGTGCCATGGGAAATCTGGCAAAATGTGGGAGTTCTTTGGGAGTGACGAACAAAACCACCACCCTCTACTTAGTGGCACAGTTACTCTAGAGGAGAAAGGCGGACCTTATAAGTAGCTTTAGACGGGAATATATATGCCAAGGTCTTGATCATAGCATGCTTTCTATTAGTTGTATGTACTTATTCAGGATGTGGAGAGAGACCAGTGATCTGAGAATTAGGATGCTCGTGATGAATGTATTTTTCTTTTTTTAAAAAATTTATTTATTTTATTTATTTATTTTTGGCTGTGTTGGGTCTTCATTGCTGAGCGGGGGCTACTCTTCGTTGCGGTGCACAGGCTTCTCATTGCGGTGGCTTCTCTTGTTGTGGAACACGGGCTCTAGACGCGTGGGCTTCAGTAGTTGTGGCACGCAGGCTTCAGTAGTTGTGGCTCACGGGCTCTAGAGCGCAGGCTCAGTAGTTGTGGCGCACAGGCTTAGTTGCTCCACGGCATGTGGAATCTTCCTGGACCAGGGCTCGAACCCGTGTCTGCTGCATTGGCAGGTGGGTTCTTAACCACTGTGCCACCAGGGAAGCCCTGTGTTTTTCTTTTCAATAAATCTTTTTTTCTTCTCTCCCCAGCTGCTCAGATAAAGAATTTGATGAGCCAACTAGGAACTAAGCAAGATTCAAGCAAGCTACAGGAAAATCTGTGAGTAGCTTCCTAACAAGGTTGGGATTTGTGAGGACCTTTTGGGGACACACTTAATACCCTTGCTGACTGGCAGCTGAGGTTTCAGGCCTGTGAAATCAGAATGAGAGGCAGTGGGATATGAGGTCATAGCTGGATCTAGAAGGGGAGCAACAAAATATATTAATGGGTTGTGATCTCCGTTGCCTCGCAGAGTCCTTGAACGCTGCTTCTTTCCTCCCTTGGGCAGTTTAGCAGAACAATTTAGGGAAGCAGAGAGGGAATCCCTACCACTCTTAAACTACATTCTGCCTAAATGAGCTTCCCTGTTGGCAGAGGCCTCCTGATGAGCTACAGCGCTCGTCTAATCTGGTTGGATTTCCAGCTGTCTATCATATTAGAAAAATGTATTCAGAATGACCCGAGGAGAGTCTGAGGGAGAGAATAGTGGAATAGATTCTTTTTATTATGTCCTTCTTGACTCCATCTCTGCTTTTAGAAGTTCTAGTTTTCATCTTTAACACGCACTGAACAATATTCTTTGTTTCCTGACCTAGACATTGTGAAGTGAGAGAATGACTTACTACTTTGAGTTTTTTCCAGGGAGATGTGAGATAGCTCTGGGTATGTTAGTACTGTCTACGATGCTCAGGCTTCTGATTGACTTCCCTCTTGGGGTTTTTTTGTTTGTTTGTTTGTTTTGTCTCCCTCTTGGTTTTGATTCCTTTGTTTTATTTATTTTTTTATTTTTATTATCTTGGAGGCCCCTTTGCAGTGAAAAAAACATTAGTAATTAGTGGTGTGGTTTCCCTGTCCTCCCTTAAACCCTTTGTACAAATGGCCAGATAGTAGAGGAAACCATGACTAAAGGAGCCTTTTTTTTTTTTTTTTTTGCGGTACGCGGGTCTCTCACTGCTGTGGCCTCTCCCGCTGCGGAGCACAGGCTCCGGACACTCAGGCTCAGCGGCCATGGCTCACAGGCCCAGCTGCTCCGCGGCACGTGGGATCCTCCTGGACCGGGGGCATGAACCCGCGTCCCCTGCATCGGCAGGCGGACTCTCAACCACTGCGCCATCAGGGAAGCCCTAAAGGAGCCTTTTTTGTATTTCTACTACCTTTCAATCCCACTTAATATAGCACACATTCTTCCCTCTTTAATTTCCTTCCCCCTCTGCTCGTTACATTTTTTTACACAGTATAGGGCTTCTTTGTTTTGGAGGGAAGAGCCAGAAAGTCAGGCCTAAGGGACAGGTAGGGAGCCAAGGATAAAGCTGAAAAAGCATGAGCTTTAAGCAAGAGCGTGGGAGTAGATCTTTGGAGGTTGTTCCCTAGGGTGGAAGCTGTGCTTCTAATGCACATTTCGTCCAACCTCCAGTGCCTGGATTCTGTCACTAGTCGGTGGACTGTGACAGACAGTACCCATGCAGAACTCCTGGGCAAATCAATACGAGAGTTTTGAGAGAGCGTTCAGTGTGTTAAAACTCTTAGATTGAGGTGTGGGGGCAGTTGCTCTTCTTCTATCAGAACTGCTGAGAATGCTTTTCCTTCCTCCCCGAGAAGTTAAAATACCCAGTCAGCAGGTTTCCTTGAGGCAGGTTCTTTCTACTCCGTAACATGAAGACGACTTGAGGTGAGTATGACTGGGTAGTATTTCCGGAATTTTGTTGTGAACCTGGGCATCTAGGAACCCATTTCTTCAAGTGCCCTTTCATTCCCTGCGTTGTGAGACACTGAGAATGAACTGATAACAACAGCTCTCAAGAAGTGAGAATATCCTAAAACATATCTTTTCTCTCTTAGGCAACAGTTACAGCACTCTACAAATCAGCTTGCCAAGGAAACAAATGAATTACTGAAGGAATTAGGGTCCTTGCCCCTTCCTTTATCTACTTCAGAACAGGTTGGTATTTTGTGGGGTTTTGGCTTGTTTTTTAATAAGAAAGGACTTTGTTTTTGTGGAGAGGCAGTGTGTGAAACAAAAATAACTTGGCCTTTGGTTCTAGATAGACCTTCTCTGAACCTCAGTTTCCTTATTCATAAAATGGATAAGTGTCTTTTGTGACAACAGAAAGAACGCATGCACCAGATCTTGCAAAGTGCCTAGCATTTAGTAGGTACTCAATATGGGTAGTGGCTGCTGTTATTAGTAATAATATATTAGTAAAATGGGTTTAACTGGAGAAGAATGTCCATGTTTGCATCTTGTTGGGGTTTGACCTGCAGCTTTATGCTTTCGGGCTTGATCCTAGTTTTCTTGTATCCTGTATCTATAAATTTCAAGCAGACGTCTTCTATATTTTGTGGTCACTTTCATGTCGCATCATGAATCATTTATAGGTCTCAGGTTGAGGAAATGCTCAGGGAAATAGATTCTTCTATTTAAGTCATTTTCTTCAGTGGCCATTTAAATCCTTTAAAAACACACAATTTTTACTGGAATTCATTGTTCCCTTGATATGCGTGCCTTTTCTTCAGACGTTCCTGAAGTCAGATGTGCCCCCTCCATTGTGGCTTGACTTTTTAATCTATTATTCATGGTCTGCCTCAGGCCTCAGATCCTCTCTCTTCCAGGGCAAAAACCTTCTCCATCTATCTTAGCCTATTATGATTCTATTTTGCTTTTAGTTTCTGTACCATTCATGGGAGCACTTAACTTACATTTCTTTTTATTATTGAATTTTTTTAAATGATGGTATCCTATCTCTGATGGCTCTTAAAGATGAAGCCTACCACCTCCCTATCCCGGGTTGTCTGTGCATTGTGACTATTGGAACATAAAACAATGTTAGTGTGTTGTGATCATCATTTATAAAAATGAAACAAAGTAGAAATATCAGAGTGTGTAACCATGTAATAAGGGTAAATACTGTTAATGAAACTTTCATACATATGTATATATATGGTGCTAGGTCAAGATGTCACATTCTTATTCTGTGTCTCCATCAAAAAAGTTTGAAAATCATCAGTTTAACCCATTCCTGGCAAGTCATTTAATGAAGTATACGTTCAGTCTTTGGAGTTTTGGCATCCCCTTGCACAAAAGAAAAGAACCAAAACTAGGTGCTTTTGTCATCCTGCTACAAAGTAGTAACCTTAATATAATCACCCTTTGACTATCCGCATGTGCTGTTTGTTTTGTTACTCATCCTGATATTTCACCTATGGACCAGTTCCCCCTTGCCATTCATTATCTCAAATTGTTCCCAAATCACCCCTTTCCTCCTCCCAGCTGTGCACTTAGGGAATCCACACTTGCAGATAGTTTTAACAGTAATAAAAAGGGAGTCTAAGAGTCTGATGTAAACAGAGTATTGAAAGTACTTAAGTGTTAAATAGTAGCCTAAGCAAAATATAAAGTTCAATCTGCTTAAAAATAAATCTAACGTATTCCAAAATCAAATAGAATTTAGTTTTGGATTATGCATGCTCTTGTTCCCTTACGTTATCTTGGATCATTAAGAACATGAAATAAATCTACAGACATTCTCTCTGGTGAAATACAAATCCTTGATTCCCTTCCTCCTATTGTGCTGAATATTCTTTGCCCTTTCAATTGTTTCTTTATCTAATTAATGTTAGCCCTGTCACCCATCTTTTTGTTACTGGACTATCAAACCATACATCCTACTCTCAGCATTTTTCTCATACTTACGTGCTATCATCAGTAATCTTCTAGTTGCTAAATCCAGTGGCCTTTTTTGAGTTTATTCACTTTTCTTTGTTTCATTTGATCCTCTTGCCCATCCTGTCTTCGCTGAAACTTTCTTCTTTCCATGATCTCTGTAGTAAAGCCTACAAAGTAGTTTTCATGTCTCCCAACTCTGGTGATCCCTTTCTGGCCTATTTTCTCTTACCCCAGGTTGAGTCTCAGCCTCCTTCTCTGACTTTATATCTTCCTAGAAGTGGGTGTGCCCCAAGGCTCTGCCATTGATCCTGTAATTTTATTACTCTATGCTTTCTCCCTCAGGAGTCTTTTCTACTGTACTTTTATGAGCTTCCTGTCACCTTTATGAATGTGATCCCCAGATCTTTTTCAAGCCCTAGCCCCTAAACCTCTAAGTATTTGGCCCATATTGCCAATTCCTGTTCTAACATCTCCTCTTGAATATGCTGCCTTCATCTAAAATTTAATGTGTTGTCTTATACTGAATTCCTTCTGTTTCACCCAAACCCCTTAACTAAGCTGATTAACAATGCTTATTGTCATAAAAAAGTTTGTGCCTTTTGACCTAATGTTCCCACTCATGCAAATGTGTCTGCGTTCTAAGAAAAAGAAACCAACTATATACTCTGGAGCCAAATTTCCTGGATTTAAATTCTACCCCTGCCATTTACTGTGTGATCATAGGCAAATTGCTTAACCTCTCTGTGCCTCATTTGTCTGATCTGTAAAATAGGTACTATAATAGTACCTAATTTATAGGTTGATGTATGGATCAAATGAGTTATTATATAAGGTACTTATAACAGTACTGGTACATGATAAGCACTGTATAAATATTAGCTGTTACAATGGGGCTCACTTTAGCTTTATTTATAATGGTTAAAAATGGAACAGTCTAGAAGGAATGTTTACCTAAAATTTACTAGATCAACTTGATGGAGTATTATGTAACAAAGACCATAATTGTGAAGAGTATGGTAACATGGAAAATGTTAATGATATACTTAAAAGATAGTACTTTTGTATAGTGAGATTGGGGAGTGATGGGTTTTTTTCCCCCTATTGTTATAATGTTTATGTAAAAATTAAAATCCAAGAAAAGGGATAAAAAGTCCCTTATCTAAATTTGCTTTTCAGTATTACCATCACTCTCCCAGGTGTGAAATTTGAGTCATCCCTTGACTTTATACCCCTTTCCCCACAGCCAGTCACATAATATTCCTTAGATTCATTTCTTTGTGTTCCCATTACTGATACCACATCTTCCTAACCTTAAATCTAGATTATTGCAGTCATCTTTTTGACTTGTTTCTTTTTCCCATTCCATCACCATCACGGACTAATTTTTCTAAGTTATCATTTTGTACCCATCGTGTTCTCCACACAGAAATCTTCGTTGCTCTTTGTTCTGTAGAGGTTGAATCCCAAACTCATTATCTTGGCATTTAAAACCTGCCGTGGCCACCCCCTTTCCTCCTTTTCCAATTTTATCTTTTAGCTATGCTCATGAAAAAGCCTTTGGTTCAAGCCAAACTATCCTTTTCTAGATCCTCTGCAAATTTCTGCCACCATGCCTTTGCTCACGCTGTTGCCTTGCCTGGATTCGCCTTACCCCTTCTCTCTGCTCTTCACGCCTTACTCTTCCTTCAGTGCCCACCTCCTCTGGAGGCCTTTTGATCACTTAGATTCTTACTGATCATACTTGCCTCTGTATAATGTGTACAGTACTCTGTATAGTACTAATTGAATATAGCAATTATTTGTATTGATTTGTTATTTGTATATCTAAATTCTTTATCTCCAAATAGATGATAAGCTGTTTGAGGTCAGGGGTGACTTTTTACTTCTGTGTTCTCAGCACCCAGCAAGTGCTCTCAGTATGTGTTTTTTGAGATGTAGCATCAGTAAGCTTAGTAAAGGTAGCTTGTAACTCTACAAAGTAGTTTTCAGGTTCTCAAAGATTTTGAACCTCACTACAGTGTGAAGGAAAATGATTCCATGGTTTTCAGGTAAGCTGTGAACTCAGTATAGATGAATACAGTTTTAACATTTTAGCAAGAAAACAATCTCTGTTGGGTATTCTGCTTTTAGATTCTCCTGGGAGCTAACATTTTGAATTGTGGTTCCCTCTGAGATTCCCTTACCAGGTAAATGATACCCAATTCCCAGGTTTGTCAGAATGAAAGAAGGAAAACTCTGACTTGGCCTATAGTATTAACCAGGGATTTGAGTTAGAAAAGGACAAATTTATTAATTTAAGGAAGAGCCTATTTCATAGTAATTTTCCTAGTTGGAACTCTTTAGGAGGTATAATTTTTAATGGGAATTAAAACCAAATGATTCTGGGTTAATGTGAAATTTCAAGTTCTTATTTAATTTCCTTAGCGCCAGCAGAAACTTCAGAAGGAACGTCTCATGAATGACTTCTCTGCAGCCTTAAACAATTTCCAGGCTGTGCAGAGAAGGGTATCTGAAAAGGAAAAGGAGAGTATTGCCAGAGCAAGAGCTGGATCTCGTCTTTCTGTAAGTTTATTTCCAAAAGAAGACCTTTGCAAATTTCAGGATGTTCTTTCCTAAGTTTTTAAAAATTTTTTGACCATTTTGTTTGCTTACTATCCCTCCAAATAATAAACATAGACATTAGCTGCTGTGAAAATGTCAGATTGGTTTACCCTTTGTTTAAAAAAAAAAAGTGTACATATGGTCACTTTGTACACTAGACTAGAAAAGAATGTGCCCAAAGATTTACAAAAGTGACAGGTAGAATTGTGTGTAATTTTCTTTTTCCTTTTTTCTTGTCATGTTGATCTTATGTTAAAAACTTAAAAAAAGAAAAAAGAATACATCTGTTTCCTAGAATATCGCAGGCTAGGTTATTTGGACTAGCCTTCTCTTTGAAAAGAATTAACAAATACTAGATTTTAACAACCCAATTTCTTAAAAATATTAAGAGCCATGAAAATATTAAGGTCAAAGTCTAAGAGAAGGTGTGAACCCATAGACATGAGCAGAGCACTGAAACTGCTTTTCCACTGAGTGCATTTACTGAGGGCCAACTTAGATTCAGTTTTGATGTCCTCATGGCATGAAGGGGGACAAAAGTCAAAGCCAAGGTTCCATGCATGGTGGATAATCTAAAAGAAGGTGCTCCTCAAATTAAACTGGGCCCTAAAAAATGAAAAGTAAGCCCTCCTTTCCCCTAGCAGACTGCAAAAAAGATCGCATTAGCACTGAGGATGGCAGGAGGGAGGGGAAATCCAGACAGTAAGTTGTACCACAAAGTAACCTTCAGGCAGATTTACTGCCCAAATTCTACCTGAATGGTCCAAAAGCCTAAAGCTTCAAGTAGTCCTGGTCTGGTTGAGTACCTACATGCCAGGCAGAAGCAAATACAAATCCTTTCTGTTTAGAGGCCTTTATCCTAGCCCTAAAAGAATACCCTCAAATAATTTTTGAAGTGTAATGAGCAGCCCAGGGTACACAAATAAACAAATAACCCCGGACAAAAACTAGTAGAAACAAAAGTGAGGTGAAATAGACCTATAAAGACTTAATGTATTAGAATTATAAGCTAACTATACTTACTGGGTTTAAAGAAATAGAAGATCTTGAACACATCTGCAGGAAGAAGGAAACTACAAAAAGCTTTGTAAAGAGTCAAAAGATTTTCTAGAATTGAAAAATATAATGTGGAAATTAAAAACTTAACGGGTGTGTGGTTTAACTGGAAAATAGGTTAGAAGGTATTATCCAGCATGTAGGACAGAGGGTTAAGAAGTTAAATAGGGAAGAAAGGTTATGAGAAATGGAGACTGAAGTAAAAGGATCTAAAATAGTTTTTTTTAAATAAATTTATTTATTTATTTATTTATATTTGGCTGCGTTGGGTCTTTGTTGCACGCGGGCTTTCTCTAGTTGTGGCGAGTGGGGGCTACTCATTGTGGTGTGCGGGCTTCTCATCGTGGTGGCTTCTCTTGTTGCAGAGCATGGGCTCTAGGCACACGGGCTTCAGTAGTTGTGGCACACGGGCTCAGTAGTTGTGGCTCATGGGCTCTAGAGCGCAGGCTCAGTAGTTGTGGCGAACGAGCTTAGTTGCTCCATGGCATGTGGGATCTTACTGGACCAGGGCTTGAACCCGTGTCCCCTGCACTGGCAGGCAGATTCTTAACCACTGTGCCACCAGGGAAGTCCCTATAATAGTTTTAATTAGAGTTACAGAATGAGGGTAGAGCAGACATAGATCAGAAGTCATATTTGAAGAGATAATGGCTGGTAATATTTCAGAACTGATGAAAGTCACTAATCTACAGTTTCAAGAACCCCAACAAATCCCAAGAAGGATAAATTTTAAAACTCTCATTCTAGGTATATCAAAGAGAAACTTCAGAACACCGAAGGCAAAGAGAAAATCATAAAAATAGCCAGGGAGGGCTTCCCTGGTGGCGCAGTGGTTGAGAGTCCGCCTGCCGATGCAGGGGACACGGGTTCGTGCCCCGGTCCGGGAAGATCCCACATGCCACGGAGCGGCTGGGCCCGTGAGCCATGGCCACTGAGCCTGCACGTCCAGAGCCTGTGCTCCGCAACGGGAGAGGCCACGGCAGTGAGAGGCCCGTGTACCGCAAAAACAAAACAGCAACAACAACAAAAAATAGCCAGGGAAACAATAGAATATCTTCAAAGGTGCAATAGTTAGACTTCTCAACAGCAACACTTGAAGCCAGTAGAGTGTTGTCTTTAATGTTATGAAGGACGATAATTGCCTCCCTAGGATTCTAAACCCAGTGAAAATAGAAAACCAGAATGAGGGCTAATTAAAGACGTTTTCAGTCAAAAGAGAGTTTGCTATCAGCACACCTTACTTAAGAACATTCTAAAGAATGAACTTCAGGCAGAAGGAAGGTGATCCCAGATAGTAAGCCTGAAAAGCAGAAAGGAGTAAGAATGAAGAAAGTGGTAAATATGTGAAAAGACAAATCACAAACAGGGAGAAGATACTGCTGTTTGTACAACTGACAAAAGACTGTTATCGACAATATATAAAGAATTCTCAGGAATCAATATGAAAAAGACACAACCCAACAGAACAATAGTTTCTTAAACTTTTTGATTTCAGGGCCCCATTATACTCTTAAAAATTATTAAGGATCCCAAAGAGCTTTTGCTTGTATGAATGATATCTATTGATATATATTGTATTAGAAATTAAAACTGAGAAGTTTTAAAAATGTTTATTATTTCATTTACAAATAATAATAAACCCATTACCTACTAACATAAAAATATAAATGAGATTTTAATTAATACTACTTTTCCAAAACAATAAAAAAAGTTTTAATGAGAAGAGTGGCATTGTTTTCATTTTTGCAAATCTTTTTAATATCTGGCTTGACAGAAGGAAGCTAGATATTCATACCTGCTTCTGTATTCAGTCTGTTATGATATGTTGTTTTGGTTGAGGTATCTGAAGAAAATCCAGCCTCACAGAGGTAAGTAACTGGAAAAGGAAGGAGTATTTTAATTAACCTCTTCAGATCATTGTTGTTATTTTTCCTTGATACTACATCAAAACTGGACAAAACTTAGTTGCATTGTGGAATCGAAAACCATTGTCAATGACTTGTTCATACTCTGACGCATTAAAATCTTGGTCTGTCTTATGCTTTTATTGGATCTTTTATCCGTGTATGCTTTTTATAACATCATGTATTTATCATTTGGAAAATATTGGTTCCCTGACTTATGCAGGTCTTCTAAATGTTGATATATTTCATTTTACAATATCAAAAAATCATGCATTATCTTCAGCTTGACCAGAAAAGTCTTTAAATATTGAGAATCTCTCAAGTTCACAAGCAGTAGATACAAGTTTTCCAGAATTCTTTTTTTTTCTATTTGAAAGCTAGATTTTTATCACTGGCAACAAACACTGTGCATTATTTTCCTTGAAGTGACAGGCTCACATTGTTTATCTTGAAGACCTTGTCTTTTGAATACCCATCTGAGTAACCATAGATTGTTAGTTATTCTTTTATATATATCATATATAATATATGTTTGTGTATAATATATATGTGTATATATATATATACACAAATTGTATTAAAAGTTTATATATTTTAAAAGTTTTATATATAAGTATAAACTATATTGAATAAGTAAAAATGCTATTCCCTAAAAAAAGTAGCTAGTTCACCCAGCAACTCAATTACACAAGTGCTTTTCCTGGAGACAAACATCGTATTGCTGTTTGTAGCAGGAGGGCTTTATGTATACTTCCCATTTCATCATACAGAATATTAAAAAGACATGTACTAAAAAAAAAAAGAGACATGTACTGAGATTTAGTTAATTAATACATTTAATGGCTTCATTAAGGACGAACTGGCTTTTATCCCCCTATGTGTGGTGGTAAAGAATAGAAAACTAGTATGGTTTGGTGCCACTGCCTTGATTTGTGTTAAAGTGCAAGTGGTAGTTTTGTCCACCTTTGTTTTTGTCAACACAGTGAAAAAAGCAAATAACATCTTAGTATTGCTTTGAATAATGGTCAAATGGACCATTTTTAGTAGTCATGGAATTACAGATTAAAACCACCCTGAGATACTATTTCATGTCCAAAATAAGGGCAGAAAAAAAAAAAAGGCAGAAATTTTAAATTCTGTGAACAGGGAGGGTTGTTGCCATGGATATGATGCACAGGAACTTTCCTATCTGGCCAGTGGTAGTATGAGTTGGAACAACCACTGGAAAACATTCTGGCTGCAACTTCAGAACACATGCACACCTTATGACCCAGCAGTTCTATGCTAGAGAACACTGTAAGTCTGTACCAGGGTATATGTACAGGAATGTTCATAGCAGCATTATTTGTAGTACTCAAAAATCGGAAACATCCAAATGTCAATTAACAGTAGAAGAGATAGGGCTTCCCTGGTGGTGCAGTGGTTAAGAATCCACCTGCCAATGAAGGGAACACGGGTTCGAGTCCTGGTCCGGGAAGATCCCACATGCTGCGGAGCAACTAAGCCCATGCGCCACAACTACTGAGCCTGCTCTCTAGAGCCCGTGAACCGCAACTACTGAAGCCTACGCGCCTAGCGCCCATGCTTTGCAACAAGAGAAGTCACTGCAATGAGAAGCCCGCGCGCTGCAATGAAGAATAGCTCCTGCTCGCCGCAGCTAGAGAAAGCTCGTTGCACAGCAACGAAGACCCAAGGCAACCAAAACTAAATAAATACATTAATTAATTTTAAAAAACATAAAAAATACAAGAAAATGATGATCACAAAGTCAGGATGATGGTTACTCTAAAGGAGAGGGAGGTGGTTGTAACTGGAGGAGGGCACATAGGTAGGCTTTAGGACACTAGCAGTGTTCTGTTTCTTTTTTTTTTAAATTTATTAAATTTATTTATTTTTGGCTGCATTGGGTCTTTGTTGCTGCGCGTGGGCTTTCTCTCATTGTGGCGAGTGGGGGCAACTCTTCATTGCTGTGCACAGGCTTCTCATTGCGGTGCCTTCTCTTGTTGCGGAGCACGGGCTCTAGGCGTGCGGGCTTCAGTAGTTGTGGCACACAGGCTCAGTAGTTGTGGCTTGTGGGCTCTAGAGCTCAGGCTCAGTAGTTGTGGCGCACGGGCTTAGTTGCTCCGCAGCATGTGGGATCTTCCTGGACCAGGGCTCAAACACGTGTCCCCTGCCTTGGCAAGCAGATTCTTAACCACTGTGCCACCAGGGAAGCCCTTGTTTTGTTTCTTGATATGGGGAAAGAGTAAAAATGTTTTTTAAAAAAACCCACAGTGGGGCTTCCCTGGTGGCGCAGAGGTTGAGAGTCCGCCTGCCGATGCAGAGGACACGGGTTCGTGCCCCAGTCCGGGAAGATCCCACATGCCGCAGAGCGGCTGGGCCCGTGAACCATGGCCGCTGAGCCTGCGGGTCCGGAGCCTGTGCTCCGCAATGGGAGAGGCCACAACAGTGAGAGGCCCACATACCGCAAAAAAAAAAAACAAAAAAAAAAACCCACAGTGTTCCTCTGGGTGGGAAGAATTTTGAAATTTTCTTTATTTTGCTTATCTTTTTAATTATTGTTATCATAAAAAGGGACGGCTTTTTAAAAATAGGAAAAGATTCCTCTTTTAACATTTTTTCTTGGTTGTTAAATTACAAAAGTAATACATAATTAGACTGATTTTTTTAAGTCAGTTTGCCACTTTAGTACCTAATATGCTTTAAATGTCCATTTAAAAAAAATCTTCACATATTCTGAAAATTTGTTTCCTAGCAAATTTTCAACTCCTTCCCTTAATCCACCTGCCTCCAAATTTTAAGATAGGTTATCATTATTATTAATTTTTATTCCTTTCTCCTATCCATGTTTTCTCCGTCCTACTTAGTATGGTTTCTGTTCTGAATCCAAATTGGAATGCAGATTTGCTTTCAACTGCTTCACACCCATTTCCTGGTCCAGTCAGATTGCCAGAGCCCTGTGTCATCTTACAGAGTCTGTTGGAGCCAAGGGATGTTACTTCTTTATACTGTAGCTAAAGGAAGCCATTGTGTGTGTGTGTGTGTGTCTGTCTGTCTGTCTGTCTGTGACATGTTTCTGGATAACAGCAGCAATAATGCCATCTGCTTTCTAGGTGGAGGAGAGGCAAAGAGAGGAGCAGCTCGTCTCATTTGACAGGTAAAGGAGTTATTCTAATGTAGAGAATCGAGATGGGATTTTATACTTAATTTTAATTTTAAAAATCAATGAGAAAAAAGGAGGAAAAAGAAAGGGAGTCCTGGAGTAGGTAATTTATAATCCATCAAATAAAAAAGTCAAAACTGTGGGCTTTTCCAAGATCTTTGAATTATGGAAGGAATAATTTCAAAGTGAATAAAAAACTTACAAGAAATCTCTGATGTCTATGTGTTGAGGAGAGGGTGTGGCTCAATAAGAATAAGTATGAGCCCCCAAATCTACGGATTCGGAGGTCTGAATAATTTTACCTCAAATTCAGATTTAAATTATTCAAAGTTCTTGGATCTGTGTTTACTCATCCCTAAAATGGAGGCAACCCATCCTTCTAGGAGTATTAAAAGAAGAAGCAAATAATTTGTATCTGAAGAACATCTCCTTTCTTAACTTCTCCAAACTGAATTAACTAATTCCATAAAAATGTACTGATGGTATTAGTTGAGAACATAAAATGTTTTGTTATAGGTATGTATCTATCTCCCCCCCCCCACTGTGAGCACCTCAAAGGCCTGGGGTGCTTATTCAGTTTTGTATCTCCAGCACATGGAGGAAATTCTTTAAATATTGTGGAGATGATTTGTGATTTATGTGTACTGTTGGAAAATGCTTAATACTGAATTTTCAAAGTGTTACATTTCTAGTATAAGATGTCATATGCGTTTCTTTTAAATATGGTACCTGAAAAGAAGAGTTATAACATTTCACTAGCTTTTAACTTTGGCTTTCTGTTAAGAGACATTTAACCTAAAGCATAACCTCAAAGAGATTCTCGAAAACCAGGGGGTGTGATTCTATCGGACTAATTGGTGAAGCACTGACTGGTCACTTAACCTGCTCTCCTCCACCTGTCTAGTATCTGAGATACCAATACAGCTTGCACTTTGAGAGTGCCCTGGGAGAGAATGGGCCAGTGTATTTTGTTGATTTCAAACCTCTGTCCACTTCTGTCTAGCAAGCCCTAGCAAGATTGTAGAGTGTACCCCTGAAGGGAAACAGCAAGGAGTCCCATCCCTTATAATTCTGCTTCCTCTTAGTTTTGCCCAGGAAAGCTGAGACTTTGTTTTCTTGGTATTACCAACTCTTTGTCTCTGGATGTGAAGAATGTGGCCTCTGACACTTGTATTGATACCAGAGGAGTTGGAGCCCTGGTACTGTCTTTGGGCAGGCTCTGCTGGCAGCAGAGGTGATGAAGGTATGTCTTATGCACACCTTAGAGAGGAGGAATCAACTAGTGTGCTTGTCTCCCTGCAGCCATGAGGAGTGGAACCAGATGCAGAGCCAGGAGGATGAGGTGGCCATCACTGAACAGGATTTGGAACTTATTAAAGAGAGGGAAACGGCAATTCGGCAGCTGGAGGTGAGAGCCAAGTCATGTTTTTTGTTTAACTCAATGTAGATGCAGTCTCTTAATTCACTTGGTTTTTCTCGCAGTGATTATGAAAAAGGATGAAATGAGTTGTTGTATGGCTAATGAGACATATTATGTCTCAGTGTAATCACAGTGAATTTGAACTACTCTTACGTTGATATTGGCCATGGCACCTGAGAATACCCGAATCCTCTCCTCAGTTACTATATCTTATGTGGTCTCCATGAGACTATGCATAGAGAACAGAGCAAGGCCAACAAATATTTTATTGCTCATTAAGACTTTGTCCCGAAACCTCAATGCCAACCTCTCGGTCAGGTAGGACTCTATGGAGAGCCCTTTGCTTAGTCTGAACAGCCCAGAATAAAGATAGGCCAAAAAGGTTTGCTCCATTTTTGTGTATCCCAAAGTCCACTCCCAAGTTTTGGATATCACGTCAGTGAGTCAGAGAAACAGGAAGAGTTTTTGAGGTGGGGGTTGAGAGAGCGGTCTCGAGGCCTCTCTTCCCTGAGTTCCCAACTTTAATCTTGCACAGTGACCAGTAAGATATCCTTAAACCTGAGTACTTTTCTCCTCCATGGAGATAGAAAACTGCCATCCCCGGGGGCAGTGGGGAGGGGAGGCTTGAGAGAGGAGAAACTTGGAGCTCCTCCTTGACCTTCATCTGTGGCAGTCGTTCTGAACCATGACTGCACTTTAGAATCACTTGGAGATTTTTTTAAAATTCCCCAGCTCTCCTCCTCCACTACCAATTACTATGTTTGGACTATATGATTTGCCTATTTTTCGTAGATTAAAAATGGGCAAACATCCACAAGAGGCCCTGGCCGTGGACACTTTTCGCCTTACAAACTTCGCAGGTGATTACAATGTGCATCGAGGTTGAGCCCCACTGCCCTAGAGCCCATCAGTGTCACTTTTTTTGATGGGACAGCTCATCCTCAAGTTTGATTATTACCTTCAAAAATGTCATGTCTTTTCTCTGTTTCACCTATTGCTACTAATCATTGACTTGGTTCTTTAACATGAGAAATCCTGTTATAGCAGGGAGTAGAGTGAGATACATGGAGCTAAGGAGAAGAATGTAATGTAGTAGATGTCAGGAGTGTAATGGGCACTTCATTCAACAGAATTAAGGCCAAATTCCTTAGCCGGGGCTGGATTTTCATATCCAGTCATTTCCTGCATCTAACATACAAACCCCATTCTAACGGTGAAGCATCACACTCCTGTGTGTCTCTTCTACTGTCACACTACACTTCTGACACTTCTGGCCCCCAGATGTGTGGGCTTATTCCCACATCAAGCAGTTCTGCCACACCATCGGGATGTCCTACAATTCAACTCCATTCTGGCACTATCTCCCTGGAGTTAGCCTCAGATCCCACAAGACTGACCCCCCTCCCTGTGACTTCAGGTGCCACTCCCAAATGCAGGTCGTCACCTGTGCTTCTGACTGACAGGCTGGAAACTGGAGGTTCTCACGACCCCGTCCTTGGGTTTGATTAATTTGCTAGAGCTCCTCACAGAACTCAAGAAAACAGTTTACTCACTAGATTACCGGTATATTATAAAAGGATACAGCTCAGGAACAGCCATATGGAAGAGATGTATGGGGCAAAGTATGTGGGAAGGGGTACAGAGCTTCCATACCCTCTCCAGGCGCACCACTCTCCCCAAATCTCCATGTGTTCACCACCCAAGAAGCTCTCTGAACCCTGTGGTTGCATGAGCATGATTGATTAAATAATTGGCCCTTGGTGGTTGATTTAACCTTGAGCCCTCCTCTCCTCCCCAGAGGTCAGGATTGGGGCTGAAAGTTCCAACCATCTAATCACCAAGTTGGTTCCCCTGGCAACCAGCCCCCATCCTTACTGGTTTTCCAAAAGTCAAGCCATTAACATAAACTTAGGAGTGGTTGAAAAGGGCTTGTTATGAATAAAAAAAGACATCTTTATCTCTTTTATCACTTAGAAAATTCTAAGGTTTTTAGAAGCTCTGTGCTGGGAATGGGACAAAGACCAAATATATATTTCTTATTATGCATCACAATATCACACCTTATGTTATAGCCAAACTGGGCTGTTTGTTCTTTTTTTTTTTTTTTTTTTTTTTGCGGTATGCGGGCTTCCCACTGTTGTGGCCTCTCCCGTTGCGGAGCACAGGCTCCGGATGCGCAGGCTCAGCGGCTATGGCTCCCGGGCCCAGTCGCTCCGCGGCATGTGGGATCCTCACGGACCGGGGCACGAACCCGCGTCCCCTGCATCGGCAGGCGGACTCTCAACAATTGCGCCACCAGGGAAGCCCTGTTTGTTCTTTAACCCAGTTACCTTTCTGTGTATATGGCTTCTCTTTTGCTGTAAGGCACAACTCAAGTCCTACCTCTTCTGCCATAGTCTTCCTCCTCTGCTAGACTTCCTATACCATTTATTAGTCATTTACCATGTAACACCCTTTCTTGTTATTTATCTTATTGTATACTGATCCCTCCCCGCCCGCCCCCCCCCACGTTAGCTATTATTAAGCCCTTTTATATTCACAGCAATTAGCAGACTCTCCCAACTATAGTAGACTCTTAGCAAGTAATTGAGGTTCTGGCAAGAACTATTCTTGCAAGTTATGATTAGGAAGTCATTGCTTTGAAGACATCATTTTTTATTATAGCATTCTGAGAGGCAGTACACTTTGAAAGAGCGTGGGCTTTAGGGATATAATCCTGGCTGCAATGCTTAGTTTCCTCACTGACGAGTTGTATGACTAGACAAGTTACATAACCTCTCTGAGCCTCATTATCCTCAAAGATACTTAATTCATAGAGTTACTGAATGATTAATTCAAGTATCAAGGAGGCATAGTAACAAAAGATCATGAACTTTTAATTCTCAGTTCTGCCACTTGCTAGCCGTGAGACCTTGGGACAAGTCATTAAACCTCTTTGAGCCGTGATTTTCTCTTCTGTAGAATGGGGATAATACATGTCTCATTGGGTTGTCATGAGGGCCAATTAAGTAATAGTTAATAATAGCTGACCCTTATGAAGTGGTTATTTCACAGTTCTAAGAACTTTTTATTTAGTACTTCTGAAAACCCTATGAGATGGGTACTGTCATTGTCCACATTTTAGAGGGGAGGTCCAGAGAAGTTCTTAATTTAAGGTTGGACAACAAAACTGGAGGATTAACAGTCCTCTGTAGCTGACAGGCTCCAAGAGACTGTGCTTTTAATTACCTACCTGGTATAGTACTTGGCACATAGTAGTCATTTAGTAAATGTTAATAATTAACTATTTTTCATTTTCTGTTCATGGAGAAAACATGATTTATAAGCTTTAAAAACACATGTGTTGTTACTAGACAAAACTTTAGGTAAGTAGAGGAAATGAATCTTCTAACATGTTGCTTAATGTTAATTGTTTTTTTGTGTTCCTTAGGCTGATATTTTGGATGTCAATCAGATATTTAAAGATTTGGCGATGATGATCCATGACCAAGGTGATCTCATTGGTATGTATTACTGATACCTTTAACATGAAGGTGAGTTGACAGTATTTGTGTGCAAAGAAGTCAGTAAGACGTGTCTTAGGAATTTTGGAATACCATTTAAAAATCATTAAATTCATTTTCTTAGCAATTTTCTTATGTTGTCAAATGTGTAAGTTAAAATGAGGCTTCCGTGAATAGTCAGCTCCATTCACTTGCCATAGCCTCTTGGTAAGTCTTTGGCTGTTTAGGGAAATATTAGCTGTCAGCTTCCCAGTTTTTATCTCCAGAAACTTGCACAACTATGGGCTTAGAAACCCTTTTTTTTAAAGCTTTTAATTTGGAAATAGTTTCAAGTTTATAAAAAGTTGCAAAAATGAAAATAATAAGGAACTCCTTGGGCTTCACTGGTGGCTCAGTGGTTAAGAATCCGCCTGCCAATGCAGGGGACATGGGTTCGAGCCCTTGTCTGGGAAGATCCCATGTGCTGTGGAGCAACTAAGCCTGTGTGCCACAACTACTGAACCTGCGCTCTAGAGCCCGCGAGCCACAACTACTGAGCCCATGAGCCACAACTACTGAAGCCCACGCGCCTAGAGCCCCTGCTCCGCAACAAGAGAAGCCACCACAGTGAGAAGCTTGTGCAACGAAGAGTAGCCCTCGCTCGCCACAATTAGGAAAAGCCTGTGCACAGCAACAAAGACCCAACACAGCCAAAAATAAATAAATTAAATAAATAAAAAATAAGGAACTCCTTTATAAACTTTACCCAGATTTACCTCTTGTTAACGTTCTACCCCACTTGCTTTTTATTTGTACTCACTCTTTCTCACTCTATGTATATACCTGATTTTTTTCTGAACCATTTGTGGGTAAGTTATATACTTCATAACCCTCCACCCCAGTATTTATTTCCAAAGAATAGGGCTATTCTCTTACGGAGTTAGTAACTTTTGATTTCATGCCTGGATAGTTGGAGTGATGATGGTGAACCAGGACCCATAGCATCATAATTGTCTTCAGTTTGCAGTCTTGAGACATCTGAGTGTGGTAAAACATCCACTGCCCTTCTTTTTTGCAGACAGCATAGAAGCCAATGTGGAAAGCTCAGAGGTGCATGTAGAAAGAGCCACTGATCAGTTACAGCGAGCTGCTTACTATCAGGTAAAAGCAGGTACTAAAGAAAGTCACTGTGTGCTGTAGACTTTTTGAGAGCAAGCTGCAGCCTTTTGCTTAGACTTAAGCTGGAGACAGGTAGTCATAATTGCAGTCCCAGCTCCATTTTTAGTATTTTTCTTTGCAGAGAGATCTACAAAAAGGCATCAAACTTTGAATAAACTGACATAGAAGCCTCTTAGCTGCAAAGCTAACCACGTAAGCTAGCATGATACCTAATCTGGTATAAGGCTACGTTTATAACCTAAACAGCTGAAGTTTGTTTCAATTAGGATAGTAATAGGTACAAAGTAGAACTTTGCAGATGGTTTATGTTGACCTTTGCCACAGAGGATGGACAAAGAATCAACTCCGACAGCTATTTATGAATTAATAGGGGCTTATCATTTTGGGGTTATTTCGTATGAATAAATAGGGGTTAATCGTTCCACTTTCTGTAAAGTGATATTTTTCTACATATGAGTTGAAACCCTAGTTTTATGACTTTTATTTGGGTCTTTACCTCAGTTTACAAATATTGTGAATGAGGTCCCTCTCATTTCTCCTCAATTTGGTGTTGCATGGCTTTTTAGAAATAAATAGCATTCAGTCAGTTACATGTTCCTAAGATAGCTGTATTTCACCTGGGACTGTTCTTAAAGAAATTCATATTTAATAATAGTGTTTCCCTTTAAAACTGAATGATGACTTTAATATTCAACAGTAAAGGAACAATTAAGTAAATTATATACATCCACTCAGTGTTATGTGGGAATTAAAAGAGATGTTTATGAAGAGTTTATAATATCAAAATTTTTATGCTAAAATATTAAGTGATAAAAACATCAAACATCATACAATATGGTCCCAATTATGTCAGATAACAATATGCATGGATAAAAGATCAGAAGGAAATACAATCAAAATGTCAACTGTTTTATTATCTGTGGGTGATTATTTTCTCTTCTGCTCGTGTGTATTTTTTACAGTGAACAAAATTTTATACTAGGTATAAAACCTTTATTAAAATACACATGTACGGATAACTTATTTTATTGCAAATAATGCCTAGCAACATAGGTATAAACAGTTCCTTTGCAAAATTGTATTTGGGAGCCTGGAATTAGAACTTGCGCTGCTGCCTAGCACTGGTAATTTGAGATTTTTGAGAAGGTGTCCGCATAGTCATACATGGATAGAGTTAATTTTGAATTACCAGGAGGCAGATTGATGAAGCACTCTTGGGGTCTTAGACTGAAACATTTTTTACTTGTTTCATGAGTGTCTTCTTTACATATTTCTCTCCTCAGAAAAAATCTCGCAAGAAGATCTGTATCCTGGTGCTTGTCCTGTCAGTGATTATTGTAATCTTGGGACTTATTTTGTGGCTAGTTAATAAATGAAGTGATTGCCTCCGAGCCTTCTCCTGCTGAGCTGTTTTCAAGGGCAAGTGCTTGCTGGAGTCTTGCCAGAACAAACTGATCACAAGAAGACAGAATACACCAGAATGTCCTGTAATAATTTAGTTAGAAACTAACTACTAACTAGTCCTTGGAATTAGTGACCTGTGGAGACAGTATTTATCAATTTATGTATACATTTTATTGATTTCTCAAATTAAGAATTAATTTATGTGGATTTTGCTTTCTCTTATACTCTGATTGCCCTTCGTCCCAAGTGTTTACTGAAAATTACATTCTAGATATTCTTGTTTTGGTAGGTAACACTATAGTCTTGTAATAATTGTCTTTCTATGTACATACAAGATTTACCTTTTTACTAGCAACTGAGATAGAATTACTTTCTGTCACCCAGCATATTGGAGTCTGTCAGAAACTGTATAATAAGCCAGCAATTTTTATTATTTAATATTTGTTTGAATTTCTAAGAAGCCTGCCCCCTATATGCTTTGGAAGGTTTTGGCAATGTATTTAACTAGAGAATAAAAAATTGCACAGGTGATCCAGATTAAATGAGAAGTAACTATTTGAGCTGGTCAGCTGTTGGGGTGTGTGTTAATCTGGGTTTAAGTTTATTATCTGCTAGTGTCATCGACTGCAATTCATCCATATATACACTAAATGATCTTGTTCACTTTTTGAAGAGTTTCATTTAATTAACATTATGATTCTCTGTGGGGTTCCTCTCCCACCTGTCTGTATAGAAGGGGAGAATTAGACAAAGCGTTCTTCTGGAGAGCAAATAGGAATTGTTTGGAATGATTTAATCTTTTGTTGTTGTTGCTCAGTTGTGGTTCTGCATTCCTGGTAAATGATGAATGTTGCCATCAAAAGGCTGCCCCCTACCCTAATAAGGTTTGCTGGGCATTTGATGGCAGGAAGATTTTAAAAGCTAGACTGAAGTTGGTTTAAAATTTAGTCCTGTGAACCTGGCGATAAAGCAAAGGTTCTTTTTTGTAAATAATACTGGTTTGGAATAGTGATGTTAGACTTATCCTAATTTATGAACAAGAGATTAATCTCTCCATGCATAGTTTTAGACAAAAAATGTTTCAATAAAAGATTGCTGTCTTGTAACATAAATGTTGTCCACTCCCCTTTTTCACAAGTGTAGGGAAGTTAAAGGGAAAGTAATTTCTCTAGGCTCTCACATAAATGTGAATTGGGCCGACGATTTCAGTTCATCCTTTAGTGAATCAGAGGATCTCACTACCCTGGATATATTTATACTTATTTCTTCCATTCCCTTTAATGTTACTTAATCTTCTTTTACTAAACTAATGTGAACAGCAGGGAAACAGGGCTAAATGCATAAGTTTCTTTGCACTCTTGCAGCATTCCACCCACATAAAGAAACACTTGAAAAGCTTTTGTAGTAAGTTTTTATGAGTTAACATCCTAATGCAGTAGATATTGGGTAATGTGCTGTCCAGAGAAAAATTGAGACCTGCAAGAAGACTGGAGATCAGGTGAGGATTGGTTTAGGGGTGGAATAGGTCCTTTCCTTGAGGAACAGGATAGAGCTATTGGGGCATCAAGTGGCCCAAGCAGCAGCTTCAGAGGTAATTCCTTGGTTATACAATCACTGCCCCTTCAGCTCTAAATTACGGTTGGACTTGAATACATCATTTGTAACATTCCAGGCAAGAAAAAAGTCTTGACTGTAAAAAAATACCAAACAAACAAAAAAAAAAAACACGAAACCTTTCAGTTTGGGTAAAATGAAGCCACCATAGTTCTGTTCTGTGTTATCCAATGGTGGTGGTAATAGTAGTCATGGGTAGCAAATATGACCTTGGCCTAGAATTTCAATGGCCTGGAATTTGTAGTAGTCACCAAGAGGTTCTGCTAAGTGGTCCTAACAAACCTTTTCACAGAATCCTCCTTGACTGTGCTTTGTCCACCTTTAGGGCACCATGGTTTAGGGCAGTGGCTCTTAACCATGGCTTCACATTAGAAACTAAAAAAATACTGATACCTAGGTGACCGTGCCACAAGATTCTAATTTAGTTAGTTTGGGTTATAGCCTGGGTATAGAGACTTCTAAAAGCTCCAGATAATTCTCAGGTATAACCATGGTTGAAAACCATTGGTTTGGAGGTCAGAAACTAGACTGGGGTACAGAAGGCCTGGGGAATCTTAGCTCTGTCATTAACTTGCTGTAGGTATTTGGACAAGTTATTTAACCCATAGGCCCCTAGTTTCCTCAGTAGTTCTCTTAAAATTATACAATTCTTTGATTATAAAAACCATAGGGATGTGGTCTGAACATACCAACTGTATGTTTGTCTCTGTATTCCTTTCCTTTTCTCTTTCTTTCTCCTTTCTTTATAGAATGTTTTCTCTTCAAGTGAATTAAAACAGTAGTACTGTAGTATAGGGTAAGGTAGAGGTGTCATGCTGGCCACTTCCTCTGCGAATGTTCCAGAACAAGAACTTGCTAGCTGCTAGACCAACGCTCCCTGGGTAGGTTTTGTTTTGTTTTGTTAAGGGGTGGTGATACACTGCCTTGCACCACTGGGAAAATAATATCAAAATGAAATCATGCTTCAGTCAGTGCAAACTAAAACATACCGAGCCTCCTCCATTCAGTGTTTTTGTTTTTTGGGTTTTTCCCCCTTCTTTTGTTCAGGGGCAGTTCTCAGTCATGGGAATGAAGCTTTTGCTTTTGGTCACTAAATGCAGACCAGAACCTCACTCAGATTTCATTCTATCCTGTTTCCTAGGGCTAGAAATCTGCTTCCTCCCTTTTCTAAGCATGTTTAGCGTATCCCTAGGTTTCAAGGAATTTTTCAGTATTGCTTTCCAGTACTATGAATTACATCTACTACTTTAGAATCTCCATTTAGCCAGGAAATAGCTTGAAAGGTTTTAATTCCAACCCTTGATCCTGCTTTTAGGCCAACTGAGTAGTAATTTTAATACGTATCCAAAATGAAATTTGATTAACAATATACTACTTAATTTTTAAAAGATAAACTTGAAATAATAGAATTTTTAATGTGGGACTCTGATTAAGGACCAAGTTTTTACAGTCCATGGAGAAATGAGAAAAATAACATAGTGGGCTTTTTAAAGTACCATCTTTGAATCTGAGCTAATGGCCTTCTCACTTTTTAAAAAGATTATGAAAAGGTGGTGATGTTAGGTGACAGTCTTCATTTAAAAATCTCAGTTGGCAAAATAAAAGTTGACACCCCTATAATACTTATTTTCCCCTAGTCCATAACATCTCGAATATCTGAACCACTCATCTATAGACTAGCCGCATCGCTTTACAACTGAAGAAGCTGAGGCCAGCAATGGCAGTATACTGCAGGAATTTAGAGGCTTGAGGAAGTGCTCTGTATGTGAATGGTCATTTGTGGGGTAATACTGGAGCCCTTACTACAAGCAATTTACTATGCTGAATGTTTTACCTTTATCATCTTACACTCACAAAACTATCGAGGAGATATATTTTTCTCGTCCTCTTTTTATGGATTAGGAAACCGAGGCATAGTAAGTAAGCGACCTGGCCAAGGGCACACAGTTCAGGAGCAGTGGAGCCAGGATTTGATCTCAAGCACACAGACTTCAAAACCACACCTTTAGACACTATACACTGTCTCCATTCATCACTGATACAAACTATCCTGCTCACCACGTCTTTCATGAAGCTTTAACAATGCGGAGTAGTGGCAATTTCTGTTCAGTTTTCATGAATATTCTTTTGTTGGCACCTTGTAAACTTTTCATTCACCACCCTGCTAAATGAAGTCTCCTGCTGTACCATCTCTACACAAACACACAATTTTTTCAGTGTCTCCATTTGATCACTCATACATAAAAGATGTTCTAAGAAGTTTTTTGATATCAATATGCTCCTTATGTCTTTAGATTCTATTCTAAGGAAGTCTCAAAGTCTAAGAAATTAATGTCTTTGTTGAGATACCAAAATCCAAAGGCAGCTAGCCCATCAGTCTTTACATTTCAAAAGGTTCATTTCCTAGACTGCTGTCCTCCAGTTTGCTGATCTCTATTGACATCATTGGTGCCCAAAGAGCATTTTGCTTTATAAGGCCCAGGAAAGTGTAAGGTGCCATTACATCAGAGGTCAGTGTGAATATCAGCTATGCTGGAAACAGGGAACATGGCCAAGGAATAAAAAATTATAAGGGTAAGAATATAGCTTAGGTTTCTTGGGTGTACATTCAGCATTATAAGGGATAAATAATAGACCACCCACAGAAGCTGAGAAATTGAAAGGCAAAGCTGACATAAGATGCTATTAGGTCCCTGATAGTTAGACATGGCTTCAATACCTCTTCATGCCTGGAAAGGGCATGGGACCTTAAAGGCCCACACAATCTCTGTAGATACAAGCACCTTGCTCCTTTCTGTTACACTCAAAACACTTGAAACTATTTAATTCTTTCTTAAGAATCAAGTCCTTGTGCTCAAAGGAGGAAGCTATAGCCTGGTTTCCTGAAACCAAGTTTAGAGCTATCAGCCTAGTCTATTTTTGGAATCACAAAGCTGGAAAGTAGGATATTAACCAGTTTGTGGGATAAGTGATCTGAGGGAATTCCCTGACAGTCCAGTGGTTAGGACTCGGCGCTTTCACTGCCGAGGGCTGGGTTCAATCACTGGTCCGGGAACAAAGATTTGCAAGCCCCGAGGCACAGCCAAAAAAAAAAAAGTGATCTGATCAGTTAACATCCTTGCTGGATGAGTTCACTGTGCATTTGAAGACCAGGAGAAAATGTGATCCTCCTGCCTAAGAGTTGATGATTTTAAATTCTAAGTTAATATTATGCTGCAGCTAAATCTTGATGCCTAGAGATGTCACCAAGGGCAAACTCTTTTGAACAGGCTGATGTTCGATTTAAAATCTAGAGGAACAGTAGCAAGCAATCAAGAAAAGAAATAACTCCACCATAGAAGGAGATAACTTGCTGTGCAGTCAGTGCCTCTTTATGGGTGAACAATAATTTTGCATTCGGTTTCCTTAAAAGAAAGAAAAAAAAAGGTCAGATAATCCTCCCATGTTTTCTACAAAAGTGAAAAAGTGTTGGGCTTTAGTTGCATGCTAATATGATCACACCAACATCAAAATGTGACAGATAGCGATGATTAAACAGCATGGCCTTTGGCATCACACTGATTTAGATTTGAATCCCACTCACCACTTGTTCTAGGGTGAGGCTGGGTAGCTCAATCTCTCTGACCCACCCCTCAGGAATCATAATACCTATTTCAAGAGAGTTGTGAGAATTAAATGAGATGATTCATAGAAACTATATACTTGCACAGATAGGTAAGCACTCAATAGACATAAGCCATTACAACCAGAGGACCTGCTGCTGGTCTCTTTCACCCAGCTGTTGGCCTAAAGCAGGCCTGAATCCTAATTCTTCCTTACACTATCTAGTCACTATGACCAAAGTTTTAAAATCCAAAGGGGCCTCAACTTGATTAACCATTTCATTCATGCACACTGAAGATCTGGACGCCTGCCATCTGGTTGGATCCGTCCCTGGCTCCTGTTTGTCCAGAGTTTAGATGACCCCCAAAGGTAGCTTCCCAGATAAACTACAGAAGCTCTCAAGTGCCGGATTTGGGTTACAATGGGGAAGGGAGTACGGTGCATGCAGCTCTACGCAGAAGGACGGGAAGAAGAGAAACAGAAAAGTTGGAGGTTTTCCAATCTCTGAGCTCTACCCTCTAGCTTCTCTCCAGACTGGGGTCGAAAGGCTGAGGGGGCAGGCCCAGAGCAAGGGTGGAGTCGCAACATTTTAGAGCCTGGGAGCGTGTTTGCAAAAAGAACGTAGAGGGAAACCGAACCCCTCCTTACAAGCCCATTTTCCTCAAACAACTCCCGGCCAAGGAAAACCCTGACCTCTGTAAATAGCGAACTATCAAGCACTGAAAAAGACCTCAAAACCCTATCCCTGTTCCCCCCGCTACTAGAAGCGCCCTGTGCGTCTGCGCGTCCATGCGTCCGTGGGTGGGCGCGCGCGCGCATACGCACAGGCTGCTGGGAAGCCGCCTCTCTCCTCTGGGTCTTCCAGTTTCCCGGCGTGCTTCAGGCCCGCCAAATG